ATCTGGTTTGGATGACTTAATTTAATACTTGTAGGAAGTTGTGAAATTATAAAAGTATGCAAGAAAGACCATAACTGGTGAAATGCAATGCTTGTGAGCACCAGACAAAAAAACGACTTAAATTTTGATATGAAAGGTACTTAAATACTCGCAAGATGGAATGCAATTAAAGCTAACAAACACATCCTCTCGTCAAACTGGTTGTTATAACACATTTATAGTGTTCTGGAGAAAAAAATAAGATCTATTTAGAATTTAATCGGGAAACTAATTTGTTGCACTGGAAAGCCATTTATGCCAATTAGTGGTATGACTAAATTACTCTTGGATTTGTTCCACTTTTCTAAATTTTCTAACAAATTGTAAAATAAACTGCCTTTTTATTTCCATTAACTTTAGGGATTTTGTGGTATGAATATCCATAGAATACTACACAGAACTATAACACACCACACTCAGAAATAGTAATTTGCTCCCTTTAAAAGCAATCCTATTCTTTCTTCCATTTAATATAGGTTCTTTAATTTGCCTGAATCCTATTTGGTAACTCAACTCAGCCTAGCCTCACTTTTCTACTCTACAATGTACTATCACTGTCCTATTGCTAATCTAAATCCTGATAATGGGAGAAATTCATTTCTGCAGATGAAATGATTGCTAATTACAGAGGCCAAACAATCCCAACAGTTGACAGAACTCCATCAGTAATCCCAACATTTTAGAAAGTGGTTTATACACAATGTCTCCCTGTTTAAGTAATTGCACAAATCTTAATCATTTGCTCTATATTACGATGATTTTAATGGTTGTTTCTGACATAACTGACTTTCTCGTTTCTGGCTCCAAGTCCATTCAAGTTGCTTAATAATAATCTTTGCATTTCATACAGCCTTTCACATCAGGAGACCATCTCAAATATGCTGTAAAATGTAGTTACTATATCTTATAGGAAAACAAGGCATCCCATTTGTGCACAGCAACTGTCCCACAAGCAGGCATGAAGTGAATGACCAATGCTATGTGGACGTTTAAAAGTGATGGACAGCTACTCGGGGTAGTGGAGGTACTAAGGGAAATGGCAAAAGGGCATTGAGATTAAACGATCTGCCAAGATCTAAATGGTCTCCTTTTCCCATGTTCCTATGTTCCTCATTCCAGCTAACTGGGCCAACGAGCACAAAACCTTGGTGTTTTGTTTGACCTTCAGCACCTTCTGTCAACATTCACAAACCCACACTTACTTGGTGCTTCATACCATCTCTGTAAATGGCTGTATGGGTACAAGTTGTTACTTCAGTCAACATATTTAGACTAGATAAAAGCACAGTAGGATATTATTGGATGCTAAACTTCACTTGAGATCGATTCAAATCCATAGAAACTTCAGCCATCAAGCCTAATATTTCAAATACTGTATAATTAAAATGTTAAAATACACATTTTTGAAGGAATTTCAGTTTAGCACACTTGATATTATTTATCTTATAATTATGATGCTGCAAACAGACTGTCCTAGAATGTTTGAACTACTGCTGCAGGAGTAAGATAGTCAGGCACCATTACTCCAGTTCTTTTGAATTGTATGAAAACGTTTGGTGGGTTCTGTACTGACTTGTAACTTAATAAAAAGTGAGAGGCAATTTCATCTAGATTCATCAGAATCTCCTCCAAACCCACACCAAATACTTTCCAAAACAATTAAACTTAAGTTCTTTATCCAGCAAGTCTTTTCCTGTTTTTACAGAAATATTAGAAGTGTTCATTAAATATGAGAAAGATACCCTATATTTGATGAAATCATGAGAATTGGAAAATGAAGCTAATTTATTTTCTATGAAGACTTTGAGTATAAATAATCTTTGCATTTGATATAGCACCTTATCAAAACACAAAACATGTCAAAGAGCTTCACAGGATTTTACTGTGAAGTGTAGTGACTGTATTTGTAGAAAATTGTAGGTGTTTTAATATTACCATAATCTGATTGCTACCATTATTTTCATCTAAAATGAATAAGGCATAAAATGTTTGCCTAGCAAAATTTAATTCAACTCCAAAACAAGGTTTAGAAAATACCACTAACACAAAGTTGAAAACCATATTCAGAGACATTGGAGCTACATTTTCCAGAAGGATGAACTTAGAGTGGAGGTATATGAAAGATGAACTAGTAATATCACTCAGATGTCTCAAGAGCAGATATCTCCTCTCTCCTTTCATCCCTGTCCCTCTGCAATGAACACCTGCTCATAATGGGTGATTTCAACCTCCACCTTAATTCCCCTTGTACCACCTCCTCAAATTTCACTGCCCTCCCCTCCTCCCTAAACCTCACTCTCCACATAAACTCACCGACCCATAACCATGGCCACTCCATCGACCTCGTCATCACACATGCCCTTGACATTTGCGACCTGTCTATCAGACAAGGCCATCTCGGACCACTTCCTCGTCTCCCTCTCCTCCTGCATTCCCCTCTCCTCTTCCAAGCCCTCCAATATCTTTTTCCACCCTTGGAAAATGCTTCCCCGAATCACTCACAAATGCCCTCTTCCACAGACCTCCTCTCCCTCTGGCCCTCCATCTGCAGCGATCCTGATGCAGCCGTCAAACTGCTGAATGACTGTCTCTCCAGAACATTTAATTCTCTGGCTCCCTGAAATCCAGGGTTGTTCCCACCCACTCCCCCCGTTACAATAGTCATCTCTGTTCACTCAAAATACAAACCCAGACGCTCGAGCGCAGATGACAGAAATCCTGCCTCACGATTCAAGCACTTCCCACCTACCGCCTCCCTCTTTCACAGGCCAAGACTAACTTTTACTCCAGTCATCCTGGAGACAAACAACAATCCAAAGACACGGTTTTCCACTGTCCATCACCTCCTCCATGCACCCTCTCAAGCCCCCTCTATCCTCATGTCAAATGCAAAGAGTTCCTAGACTTCTTTGCCTCAAAGATTGAAAACATTTGCTTGGCTGCATCATCCTCACCCCATGTCCACTTCCACCCCACCCAGACCATCCACATTGTTTTCTCCCTCTGCCACGGTTCCTGCCACTCCCCCCTCCTTACACTCTTTTGCCTCCATTTCTCCCTCCTCTTTCTCAACCACAATCACCCGGATGAAGTTCACCACCTGCTGTATCGACCCCCTCCCCACCCTGCTGGTCGCAACTCCCCCTCCTCTCCCCCCTGCTGGCCGACACGTTCAACCAGTCTCTCTCCTCAGATTCTGTTCCACTCCCCCCGAAAACTGCTGCTATCACTCCCCTCCTGAAAAAACCCATCCTCGATCCCTCGAATCTCCACACTACCGTCCCATTTCCAACCTACCCTTCCTTGCCAAAGTCCTGAACGCATTGTTGCAGGTCAACTTCGGGCACACCTCTCCCTCCACTCCCTTCTCGAGCCCCTAGTCTGGTTTTCACCCTCCCCACAGCACAGGAACAAGGCTGGCCAGTCACAAATGACATCCTGTCTCTCTGTGACCAGGACTCCTGCTGCCTCCCCATCATCCTGGATCTCTTTGCCGCATTCGACACTTGTCAACCACGCCATCCTCCTCCACTGTCTCTCCTCCCTCACCCACCTTAGTGGGACTGCACTCAGACAGTTTTGAATACTACTTAACCAACCACCTCCAAGTTATGTCGGCAAATGGTTTCTCCTCTTCCCCCCATTCCCGATCTCCTGCGAGGTACCCCACGGCTCCAACCTTGGCCCTCTTCTTTTCATTTGTATGCTCCCTCTGGAAATGTTATCTGCAGACTTCCACATGTATGAGGATGACACACAAATCTACTTTGCTTCCTGCAGTATCGACTCCAGGTCCACCGATATTCTATCAGTTTGTCTGGCAGACATCAGGGTTTGGATGAGTGTAAACTCATGTCGGGAGGACGTCAGCACCTTGGGACATCCTCCCGACGTGAAAAGCGCTCTATAAATTAAATCTTGTTGTAAACTTCCTGCAGCTGAATGTGGACAAGACGGAATCCATGCTCCTTGGTTCCCGTCAATGTCTTCACTCCTGCGTATCTGAACTCCTCAACCTCCCTGGGCTCTCCCTCAGACTCACCGCAATCTAGGCATCTGGTTCGACCCCCAGCTGTCCTTCCTTCCCCACATCCGGTCCCTGACCAAGAGTGCCTTCTTCCACCACCGCCACATTGCCACTATGCCCTGAAACTCTGGAACACTCTCCCTCTCTCCCCTTTTTCAAATCCCGCCTGAAAACCTTCCCTTTCCACCGTGCTTACTGTCACCCCACCCACCCTGGAGTCAGGTTCCGGCACTGTTAAGCAGTCTGAGACGCTACCCGGCGTGGAGGGCACTTTATAAGTGCAAGTTGTTGTTATTGTGGGAATGAAAGTGTCATTTTTGTATAGTACGTTGTGCTCTTCTGAAGTTGTAGCTAAAATATATTGCTGAGTTGAGCAGAATGCATTTTACTCTTCATCTGACTCAAGTGCTTAATCCTGATACTGAATATCTAAAATAGCAACGTCTTCCATTCCTTACTACTTCTAACTTTTGATTAACACAAAACGGTTTATAAAAAGTATAAAGGGAAGTGTATTGCTAATGCGGCCTTTGAAGTTGAATTTAAATAAAATCGGTTCAAGTGAATTTAATGCTAGGTTTAAAAAAATGAAAACTATACCCGTGTGAACTTGTGCATTTCTTTTTGCCATTCTCGTAATCTAGTCTAATGCAGGGTACACTGGCTGTCTGAACAAAAGAACAAATTGTCAATAGGAAAGGCACAAATCATACCAGATGACCTCAAGTTAACACGAAAGCTTTGAGTATGTGAACTCGTGACCTTTTGTACCTGGTGAACAATCATTCTACCTCAGGTGAAATCTGTATAACAGGTTCCTGCAGTACAGAGCCTTTGTCACAACTACATCAAGCAACCTTTGCTTTGAATGAATGCATGCCTTACTACAGAATATAAGTCAGGAAAACAAAAAAAACATTAAGTGCAGACTACATTACACTTGAAAACAATTTATTAAATTTTACGAAAATAAAAAGGGAAAATCCAGGTAAGTGTTGTATTCTCTTCAGTTGAGTTGAGTTGATTTTCCTTCTCCACTGTGTTCTGCTCCCAGCTTTAGGATGACACAACCATTTCAAACATGCACACTGAATTCTCAGCACATCTCATAAAACTATGAAGTTTCCATCTTGTACCCTTGTTTTTCGAGTTCAGCTCTGAAAAATAAATGGAATGGAAGGCCTTCAGTTTTTTTTAAATGTGTCTTAACACCAATCAAGGACTTCAAATAAATTCAGCTAATTCTTCCAAAGCGCATGAATTATTCCAACTATCCACTCCCTCAGAAAATATTTCTTACATAGAAAGATGCATGAATGTGGAATGCACATTGGGAGAAAAGCCCCTTTTTCTTTTTGGGTGTCACCATTTATCAGAACACAAATTAAGATTTCTAACATTCATTTTTTTACATCAAGCACTTTGATTATTTAATGTCCACCTTAACAGGCAGATGGGACTTTGATTTACTGTCTGACCCAAGGGATAGCACCTCTGATAATGCAGTATATATCTCCAGCACTGCATCTGAGTGTTGGCTTAAACTACAACAGCAAAGTGCCAATGTGGAACAACCTTCTGATTCAAAGACACGAGTAATTAAATAGCAACTTAGATAGTTGACAATTCTTCAATTGCATAGGGTTGAAATAATAAATATTGCATCAAATATAGGCCTATAACTTGATAGAAGTTTTTCAGATAAGACATCAAACAGAGATCCTGACTTTCTGCAAACTCAAGGCTCCTGATGTGGAGCTTGAATCGATAATCTTCTGACCCAGAAGCAAGAATGCTATCATCTGAGCCAAGCAGCATTCTGTGTTAGTTTCTGCATGTTCAATCAGGCACTATTACAGGCACTTCTTTAAAAAAAGCTGAAACTACTAGAAATGCAAATTTATTTATATAGCACCTTTCATGTAGAACGTTTGAGTGTTTTACATTGGCAGAGATGGATACCGATCAGGGGGAAGAAGTGATTGTAGGTGCAGTCAAAGAGGTAAGCTCTTGATGAATGAGTGGTGGGGAGAGGTCGGAGGATGTGCAGCAGGTCTGTGTTAGATGCGTGAAGGGGGCTGACAAAGCAGGTCAGAGAAGTGGGGAAGTGGAAGGGATTTGTACGTGAGAGGAAAGAAGCTAATCTGTTCGGAGACAGAGAGCCAGTGGAGCATGGCAATAATTGGGATGAAGCACAATGTATCCACACTATTGGTTTATGGTTAGGGTAGATTAAAAACCTATTTTACACAGTTAAGTTCTGAAACACAAAACTGAATTGCCACAATTCTGCTTCAACTATTAATTAGTAAAGATCCCGAGTTTGTAATTCACACTCTGATCAAGCGCCACTAAATTCTTAACCCATTATTAAAAATTGCATTAACCACCAACAGCATAAAAGAGGAGACAAGAATCAGGCCTAAATGGTGATATACAGATTAAATATCAAAATCTGATAAAATTAAATTGTGGAGTCCTGTAGCTCAGGAATTAGAGCACTCGCCTTGCAAGCGAGAGACCTGGGTTCAATTCCCGGCAGGGCGAAACCTTGGGCAAGTTTCCTTACTCCACATGCCTGATAATAATCCCTCAAGAAAAAAATAATATGGTCACTCAATCCACGACTGTTTGTGGGACACTGCTGTGCACAATTGGCTGCCGCATTTTGCCATAAATATACACAGTCAATTCACTTTACAGTATATTCCGTGAAGCACTTTGAGATGTCTAGAAGACATGAAAAGCACTATATCAAATGCAAGGATTATTATTTAAATTATATACTTGTACTGTGACTGAATTAGAAATTCTATTCAAGATTGAACGGAAGACTATTTAATACACTGGATTTACTATGCCTGGCTTAAAAACATATTCACCTGCAGACAACTTTACTGCTTTTCTACTGCAAATCAGTTGCATTGGACTAGGCTGTGAACACTAATTAGTGAACCCATTTTGAATTGTACTGAACATACAAAGCAGTTAATTGTCTCAATTTACTACCTGTACTTATTCACCGTTCCCAGCTGCCAATGGGATAGGTGTAAACCAACAGGGTATGGCAGGAGACCTGAATTACAAATACACGCTTAGTTATTACAAGGTGACCCCGTTAAGTGCTGCGCTACAGCATAGGTTTGATGAAAAAAAAGATCTCCTGTGGACCAGTGGCAATGCACTTCCCACTCTGTCACAGAGCAGTCAGCTTCATGTGCATGCCTGCAGCTTACAGAAAGCCGTCATGACTGCACCATAAGTAAGGCTTCTGATTTCCTGGGTTTCTTAACTAGATTTTGCAGGGTTTATTTTTTAGCAATTTTAGAATGTTTATAAATCGGGAGCTTTCGTTATTGTAATGAGAAGACGTGCCTGTGCATATGGAGGGGAGCGAGGCTCCCTCACGCATACACAGTGCCTCCCTCCTCTCCCAAACATTTCACCATATGGTGGAGAAGGAGAGGAGAGCGACGCATGTGCAGTTGGAACACCGTGACACTGCCGAGAATGAGTGAGAAAGAAAACCTCACCTCGGAGTTGAATCACCATTGTTTATTGGATTAAAAAAGTCATTGTTTTTTTGATTCGGGGGTATTTTATGAGTGTTTATTGGTTAAAACCTAACCATAATTATATCAATGGCCACCTGATAACCTGGAAGCGGGATGGGTAGCCATTTACTACGTGATTTGCTATAACATGAGAAACTGTTAAAAAGCGAGTTGCCCTACATATGCTAGGATTTTACTTCACCACATTTACAAAATACATGAGGTGACATATAATTTTATTTTATAGATGGGACAAATTGAACGTTAAGAGCAGATTTCGATATTTTTTCTAAATGTGTATTTCAACAAAACCTATATGGAACTACAAGTCACTTTTTATAACTGGTTTATTGCACTTTTGGCCAAAATGTATATTAATTTTATCCCAACTGTCCCTTCATTTATAAAGTATATCCTGACCCGATTTACATTGTGCCTTCTCCCATGTTTACAATCTTACAAGATCAGCTCGTGGACAATGGACAACATGCACTCGGCCTTACTAACTATTAGAAAGAATGTATCTGAGAAAACAGTCTGGGAACCGTGCTCTTTGTAGTCTAATCATCATTAAACTGATTTGATAGTCACGATTAACATTTTGAAGAGGGGAAATTGCAGATAGGTCATAATTTATAGGTCTTGGGCCAAATTAAAATTCACTTGATGGTTCATCCGCTTTTTTTAAAAAGACACGAACCGGCAGTTCATTTAAAGAAGCGAGTTAGTTAAAAACTACAAGTTTTCTTGATTTAAAATAGCATTCCAACCATGTAATTTAAAGTCTGTTGGTCAGCCAAGGCTGTAGTACTGTGGTTTTAGACCACCTTGAATTCAATAAAAAGTAATAATTAAAACTTTGTATGCCATTTAGTTTACACAATGCAATGTCTGCTCTCAATTGGATTGAGGAAAAGTTTAAAACAAAATATATTTTCATGGCTGAACCTCACTTTTTTATGAAAGTATATTCCCATCTGTAATTATATCATACTTCATGGGAATTCTGCAAAAGGACTTGCAAATTGCAAATACCTGTCTATGGAAATCCTTTTGGATTCATTAAGGTGAAACTGAGGCAGGCTTCCATAGAAATTTTTTGCAGGCCAGCTTCCTATACTTCTGGTAGCTACAAAATTCGCTATTCACAAATTGGTGTTTGCTCCTCCACCCATTTACAATTCGCAATGGTACTTGGAACACAATAAAATTACCATCTGCTGTTACTAGACTCATAATTTTCTTCCGTACCAGGGTGAAAAGGTAGAACATTTCCACTACAGTTCCACTATATGCCCTACACCACAGGAGAAAGAAAAAGACTAGAGTGGCTATTGGCAATTTGGAAACTGTAGTAGTTACAGAAACTGTAACATTCATGGAAAATTGTGTTTTGAGAATTGTTTGTTCAAAACAAGTTGCTTGAAGGGAAAGGAAAGTCTAAGCAAATCAATTCAAAGAACTTCCCCACTGGATTAAAAATCTTATAAAAAATATTTTAACAGTGAAAATAATGTCCTCATGTGTGTCAGCCTGGTTCAGCTGGTAACAGTCACCAGAAAGTCGAAGGTTCTCTAATGAATAAGAAAGTTGGCAGATTAAGCCCCATGTTGGGACTTGGAACTCGTAACTTATGCTGACACTCTAATGCTGTGCTCAGGTGTTCTTCTTTGTCGGAGGTGCTGATCTTCAGATGAGACGTTAAACCGAGGTCCCATCTGCCTGTTTAAGTGGATGTTAAAGAGCCTATGGCACTATATGAAAAGAGAAGGCAGTTTCTCCCAGTGGTGTCCATGCCCACAATCCGATAAATAAAATTGGTACTGTTTTAAGCGCTTTGAGCATTTATATAGCACATGAAATGTCTATACAAATACAAATTGTTTTGTTATTCACTGCATGGCTGTTTATGTTCTTTAATATCTATATGCTCCCCCTTGGTTACATCATCCGCAGACATGGGGTCAATTTCCACATGTATGTGGATGACATCGAACTCTATCTTTCTGCCTCCACTCTCAACTCCAGGACCACTGCTGTCCTGACAGACTTCCTGTCGGACATCAAGTCCTGGATGAGGGGCAAATTTCCTACAGTTGAATGTGAACAAGACTGAGGCCCTCCTGATTGGCTCGAGCCGGCGCCTCAGCACCTCAGGCTATGGCAGCATCAACCTCCATGGTTTCACACTTCAACTCACCAACTTCAACTGACTCCTGCCAGTCAGGAACCCAGGTGTCTTGTTCGACCCTCAACTGACTTTTCTTCCCCACATTCAAGCCATGAGCCGCTCTGCCCTCCCTCACCTCTGTAACATCGCCCGACTCCGCCACTACCTCACCCCTCAGGCCACTGAAACTCTTGTTCATGCCTTCATCACCTCCAGGCTCGACTATGCAAACGCCCTGCTTGTCAGCCTTCCCAACTCCTCCCTCCACAGACTGCAGATAATCCAGAACGCTGCAGCCCGTGTCCTCTCCGTGACTCCATCTCCCCCACTCTCGCCCGACTCCATTGGCTCCCTATCCTTCAGAGGATCCAGTTCAAGATCCTGGTCCTCACCTACAAAGCCCTCCATGGCCTCGCCCCACCCTACCTCTGCGACCTCCTAACCCTCTACCAACCCGCCCACTCCCTCCGCTCAGCCGGCTCTGGCCTGCTCCGTGTCCCCCGACCCACCCGCCCCACCACTGGTGAGAGAGCCTTCAGCCACTCTGCCCTCAACCTCTGGAATTCCATCCCCAATCACTCCGCCTCACCCCCTCCTTAGCCTTCAAGTCCCGCCTCAAGACCCTCCTCTTCGACCATGCCATCGGCCACCCCCCTTCCACTCCCCTTCCTTACCCCCCAACAACTCCAGCTCGGGTCTGAAATGCTATACTCTGTCCAGTGCCTCGGGACGTCCTCCTGCCGTGAAAGGTGCTATACAAATGTAATCTTGTTGTTGTTGTTCTTGGGGACAAATTAGCCATCACATTTGCTGACAAATATACAGTCACTACACTTAACAGTTTTATCCTGTGAAGCACTGTGAGAAATCCTCCCGAAAGGCAGGAGGATTACTTTCAGAATCATTTCCGTTCTCTGTTCTGCAAAGCTGCTCAAGGACAGAAGCAGAATGAAGCTCAATTTACTTTAATAGAGGTTAGCCCGAGTCGATCTAGATGCCTGTACCTTGGAAAAGCACAGTACCTGCAAACGCATAAAAGAACTTCAATGAATTCTCAGATGGGGGTGGGGAAAGAAAGGGAATAAGGTCTTAATGGATGGAAGAGGAGATGAAGAATACTTTGCACTTTTTCCAGTGATCTCCTGTAAATTGAGATTATGAACAATCTTACAGCAAGTTAAAAATGTTTAAGATGTACTGGCATTTTTTAATTTCGTCAATTTAAATTGTGGTTGGTTGGGAGGAACTAAAAAATACAACACTGAACAGGCTTCACTAATGCTTTGTTATCTGGGATCTCTATAATAAGCAAAGGCTATAAAACAGCATAAACTAGTTTCACTGTACATCTGTTATACATCAGGGTCTTTGGCTGTGTATTCCAAAACAATTCTGTGCAAAACACTGCTGATTTTCTTTTAAAAAATCCACAAATTAAATAGAGTAAGTTTTTACCTTAACTGATTAGAAAAGTCATCTTCTACATTATCATCATCCCAGTTGTCTTCCCAAACATGGGCATCCTCATCTTCATCTAAACCAGTCCAACCTAATACAAAAACAAACAAAAGAATTGTTTTGACATTTATGTTAAAAAAAAATCCCTGTATATGAGATGAAATAAGGTTAGGCAACCTTTGTGCATTCAAGAGAAAGCTAGACCTTTACATGCTCTCGAGAGGAGAATAGAATGTTATGGGAGGGAGTAAGGAATGGGTGGAGAATAAACAACAGCACAAACTGGTTAGGCCGAGTCGCCTGTTTCCGTGCTGTGCAATATTTGTAAATTTTTGTAAACCTAAATGTAAGAGGACAGGATAAAAAGGTAAGTAGGAAACAAATGTGAATAGAGGGGAACACATTTTTAAAGTTCCATGTTCGTATTAATGTGCAAGTCGCCAGCATGATCCTCATTCACTAACAGGTGTCGCCTATTTCCAGCTCATTTGAACACTAAGAGGAATAATTCTTTGGTACAGATAGTTCAACATAAACAAAGTATATGCACATCTTCTCTTCACTGTTAATCAAGGATGATTAGCAGATTTTACAACACATATATTGCTATAATTAACAGTAATTAATGTACAGCAGCAACAAATATATTGCATATTGCACATGGTGGGCATACATTTCTATGGTTCTATATATATATATACACACACACAGGTATATGCAAACCCTCAAAAAGAGAGAAGGTAATGCATCATATTGAATTTCCTCTAGCAATTGCAATTCACTGTTTGAAGAACACAGTGAGTTCTAAATTTTCAATTTATCCAAGCTCAACCTATGGATGACAATGCCAAATCAGACCTGTGGCCATCTCTGCTCCCCCATCCACAAACATTCTGTACCTGACAAATATGGTAATTTTATAGGGTCTGATTTTTTCAGAAACAACTTTCAATTCACAAACTTAATTCCAGCCTGGAATCTGCAAAAGTGAGTTTTTTTTTAAAACAATAGAACAATGTATTTAGGCGGACTACTTTGTTTCCTTAAATATATAACTGCACAACAGCAAGGTATAAGGGAACCCCAACATTTCAAAATACTAGAATTCTTCAACTTTTATTGAACGTTAAGAGTGTGTTGTATTGCAAAAAATATAAATAATATTCTATTTTCAGTTATAGCTGGAAATTTTCAGATTATTGAGCCACTGTCTACAGGCGATCTATTCAAATGTTAATGTCTCTCAAATGTGCTACACAACCAAAAAATTGATGCAGAAGTAAACAAAAAATTAGCTTAGTTTTATTCATGAGTTGAAATTCTAAATAAAACAACAATTATTTAAAATCAATGGGTAAAATGATTGCCAGTTATAGTAAAGGTTGCGGACTTAAGTCAGTTAACATCACCAAAACATTAGTAAGTATATTGCAATAAAGAGTTCTCATATTAACACAAATCCTCTTATTAATCTACAATGCCGAACAAGACAGAGGGCATTTTTGTTCCTAAATTGACAGAGTTCTTCAGAATTAGTAAAACCCTTAAATGTAATGTTTTCAAACTCTTGTCAAATGTAAAAAATAAAAGGCAAGAGCATTGTAGAAATGTCTCATTGGGACACCCCACTGCATGCAAAATTTCTTTCTTTTCCTGGTACAAAACTGCAGAATGCTTGAAGGGAAAGAAAATGTTTGAGAAAAAATAATGGATCACGTATGCATTTTATTAATACAGTAATGTCATTTATGCAACATCTGGTATCCCAATTTTATATAATGCGAATTTAAGGTAAAGAAATTTTACTTCAATATTTAAAGGTAAACATCATCGGAACTCAAAATTATTATAAATAAGTTACTAAATAGACTGTCAACATCAGCGATTTAAAAATATAACTATAAAATTGAATTTTGGGCAAATGTACATAGATTCAAATATGCAAATACACGACATGCCAAATTAATGTTAACATCTGTTTAGAGGAAATATTTCTTCAGGGCACAGATTCATGCCTGATGCATTCAAATGGAAAAGAAACTGCTGTGTTTAGAAGAGTTTCATGCTGGGTTTAACTTACAATGGTGGGGCCAGCAGCACTATTGTAAATTAAACGAGGTGGCATATATGTGATGACAAACTTTACCCTTGCACCCTGGAGTGGTTTCAGCAATGACTAGCAGCAGATACCTACCCCAGGCAGCTAGGTAGGTCCACAGACATCACAATCATATTCAGTGAATAACTGAGCCACACTGACTGGGAATGCCCAGGTTTACTGTTTGTGCTGAGTTAGGAAGGGCAGCACAACTGCACTGAGAGTCACAGAAGGGAAAATCAGTTCCTGCTCCTGATCCCTTTTCTGCAACTTCTGTTGGGAGTACATATGAACACTAGTGATAAAAAGATTGGGCTGGGCTGAGATGTCCCCAAAATTACATTTGTATAGCGCATTTTACATCAGAAGGTCATCCCAAGGTGCTAGTAACTTTCAAGGCTCACATATGATGGCTCTTGGTCAAGGTACCAGATGGTAATAAGTACACATATAACTGTAACCTTGAAGAAAGGAAAAGTGAGGCAAATGCTTTTAGAAGAGGGGAGGAAGCAAAGAAAATTGCTGAGAAATAAAGCACAATTAAGAACCTTTTGCAATACTTTGCTATCACAGGATACATGATTGTTTAGCTCATGCCACATGTGATTCAACCAAAATAGTTTGTAAATACATTTCTCCAACTTCTTGCAAAAGAAAACTAAGAGAACTAAACAATGAAGTGAATGACCAATTTTATTTGGGGGTTGTTGGCCAGGCTGCTGAGAGAAACTCCCTTCTCTTTTTAAATAGGGCCATGGGATTTAAACATCCACCTGAACAGGCAGACAGGAACTTGGTTTAACATCTTATCCAAAGGATGGCACCTCCAACAATGCATCATGGCATTGGAGTGTCAGCCTAGAACAGTGGTTTTCACACAAAAGTTTTTGGTGGCCTCAGTCCTATATTTTTCTAAAAATAGTAAATCATATGAAAAGCAAAGGAAATTGGAACATATAGACATATGCACATCTCAAATGGTTTTCATTTATTTCTGTACATTTGACAAAAACCTTTTTTCCACAAAATCTTGCAGTCAGTAACAAGAACAACAAAATAAATGAAAACTACTTGAGATGTGTATAAAAATTATTATTAGGGACCAGAATTGTTGGACAGTTGGAATTGGGTCAGTGGTTAAGAGCGATTTTCTGAACAAACTTGTGACTGTGCCAATAGCATCTGCACACCTCACTCCACATTGGGGGAGATCGGGGGCCGCATAAAATTATGTGTGGTGGTCACATTTGAGAAATACTGGCCTAGACTATACAATGTCCCGACATAGGGCTTGAACCAACAACCCTCTGACTGAGAGAGTGCTACCCGGCTGACACACAATATCATTTTTTAAAAAATCTAAAATCCTTAAATGCGCAGATACATCCTTAGTGCCTGGTATATTCTAAGTGTATGCATGCACCAGGGGTAGCATGTTTGTCAGTGATTAAACTACGCTAACACAGAGGGCATCATGTCACCAATTCAAAAATTACAAAAGTAAATATACGTTTATTTTAAAAATTGTCAATTCAAAAGGTTACTGATTGACAATGAATTGGAAAGAGGCAGATGTAACAGCAGATATATCATATTTGTAGTCTCTGCTCTGGATTTATGCCCACAGTTTGTAAATATTCCATGGAAAATTGTGTATCTCTTTATTTATATTCTGTAGGGAGAAAGAGAAGCCAGTCATTGTGGGGGAGATTTTGTGTGGAGAGAAGAGCTGGCACTGTGAGATGGGGAGGGGGAGAGAGGATTGACATTATATGTATAACAGTGATAGTATTTGATTAGTACTATTCATTGTACAGAGGGGCCAAAAAGTTGTGATACCATTACAAAGTTTAATAAATTGTAAATAAATTATGATATTTTGTTTTGTTTTTAGATAATAGGGTAGTTATCATGACTTTTTGGTAACCCTGTATTTCACATGGTAACCTGACATCAGCACTAATTTCATAATCCACAATGAGGGTCAATCTTAATTAGGGGATATTAGGTAAAAAATTAGGCAATATTGTAGTAAACAAAAAATGAATTTCACTGTTGTAAAGTATTGATAATTAATTTATAGACTATTCGAAGATGCTTTATTGTACAATATGTAGAATTATAAAATCTAAACTAAAGTACATAAAATCCTAACTGATTAGTTTTCATAATTGAGGAAGATTAAAATTTCTGCAGACCAACTTCAATTTATGTTCTCAAAATACTAATCCCTCAAATGAGTGAGCCCTTCAAACCTAATTTCTGCCAATCCGAAGCACCTGCATGCAAGCTATTTTCAAATAAGTGACCTCTACTTCAAATATCTGATTAAATTTAAGTTAGGTTGCCTTTGTTACTATCATACATCTGGAAGATGGGCAAATAAAAGTTTGAAATTAAACTAAGGAACTATTTTAACCCACAAGACTTGGTTTAGCCCAAGAATATCGAGGCATTAGGATGAAAATGCAATACAATCTGTCTGTTGCATCTTAATTTAAAAAATATTACAAAATGTATTTATAGACAATAATGGACTTAGAATTATTCTAATTTATTTACTTCCAGAACTATACATTCAATTGACTTGAGTCCAAAGCTTACACCTTTATTAAGATGTTATTAAGATTGATGTACTGCCCATTCCTATGAGGATTATGTTATTTCCAGAGTATAATGAAATATTGAATGATGAATAATAATCTTTACATTTGGATTAGGTCTTTCATGTCAGACGGATGTCCCAAAGCTTTTTAAAGGATATATACTGTGGAGTGACTGTGCATTTTGTGGGCGAATGCAACAGCAATTTGTACACAGCAATATCATACAAACAGCCATAAAGTGCATGATCAATTTTTATTTGGGGATTGTTGGCCAGGACACTGGGAGAAACTGCCTTCTCTTTTCATTAGTTTCATGGGATTTATAACGTCCATCTACACAGACAAACAGTTTAACGTCTCCTCCAAAGGACAGCACCTCCAACAATGCAGCACGTCCCCAGAGCTGCACTGGAGTATCGTCTTAGACTATATGAGTTGCAAGTCCCAACGTGGGACTTGAACCCACAACCTTCTTACTCAGAGAACAGAGTTTTCCAATTGAGCCAGGCTGACACCCCTTCGAGTACCTATCTAGTTTCATTTTGAATGAACCTATGAACTCAACTACGTGATCTGTGGTAAAGAATTCCAGTCTCTATGTAAAGTGTAAAGCATTTTGTTCTAATTATCTTAAATGACCTTAAACACGGTTAGATTAATAGGATAAAAATGAAACGGGGAAAGTAATCTTTTCAGTGGTAGATCAAAATGATAAAAGTATTTTACTAATCTTCTGGGTCTTACATTCGATTTAAAGCACACAAAAATATTATCAAGCAACAAAAACAGAGAGGGCTGGGAACCCTCAGCAGGTCAGGCAGCATCTATGGAGAAAGGAAAGTGAGTCAACGTTTCGGGTCCACGACCCTTGGTCGGTACAGCATTGCTATTATGCAGCAATGGCGCATCTACATGAAATATGCTGTGGTACATTATAAGAAAGTCGGTAGTCACTCACAAGTCGTCTGTTAGTTCTGAACTGTGGAGTAATCACGTTTCAGTTCAGGGCCTTATTCATGAACACATCGGTGTTTTGACAAAACCCCAAAGATAACCGCTGCAGCTATTCCAGGCTCCCCCCCCCACCCCACCCCGATAAAGATCAGCGGAGATGAGGTGCTCCCCCTCCCCTCCCCCCCTCCCCTCCCTGTCACCGATAAACCCCTCCAGTCGCTTGTGAACAAAACGTTATTTTGCTTTGTGTGTGAGGTGCGGGAACCAGAGCCAAGTGATGAATCGGCATCACCCGAGCACCGCCGCATGTGCTGTGAGAACATTAACCCCCCGGACACACTGCACCGCCCGCACCATGACTGTGTGCTTCAGCCGCTCAGCCGCCCGCCCGCCCGCCCGCCCGGGCCCTGTGCCGCCGCCCAGCCCCCCTCCTCAGATAATAACCCTGACCCCGACTCTCCCGGGCGGGGCGGGGGGGTCCCGCAGGACAGTGCCCCCCAACCCCGGCGCTGACTGGCTCCCAAGCCCCGGGTCGGGCCTCTCTCTCTCTCCCGGGCCTGCAGCCGCCGCCACTCGAGGCCTCGGCCCTCGGGCAGTGTGAGCGGCGCGGGGAGCCCGGCTCAGGGAGGGGGAGCCCGGCTCAGGGAGGGGGTGCGGGAGCGGCGGGGAGGGAGGGCAGGGCCAGGCCCACCTTCAGCCGGGAACTCCTCGAACTCGTCATCCTCCTCCAGCAGCCCCAGGTCCACCGGCACCTTCCTCTCCGACATGATCAGCCAAACACGTGACCGCCCCGCACAGGCGCACTCGGGCGGAGACGGGAGGGCGTGTGGCACGAGAGTGAGAGACGGTGAGAGAGAGAGAGATGGAGTGATAGAGAGAGAGAGAGTGATAGGGAGAGAGAGAGTGATAGAGAGAGAGAGAGTGATAGAGAGAGAGAGAGATGGAGTGATAGAGAGAGAGAGTGATAGGGAGAGAGAGGTGGAGTGATAGAGAGAGAGTGATAGAGAGAGAGGGTGATAGAGAGAGAGAGTGATAGAGAGAGAGAGATGGAGTGATAGAGAGAGAGTGATAGAGAGAGAGAGTGATAATAGAGAGAGTGATAGAGAGAGAGAGAGATGGAGTGATAGAGAGAGAGAGTGATAGGGAGAGAGAGGTGGAGTGATAGAGAGAGAGTGATAGAGAGAGAGAGAGTGATAGAGAGAGTGATAGAGAGAGAGTGATAGAGGAGAGAGAGAGTGATAGAGAGAGAGTAATAGAGAGAGAGTGATAGAGAGAGAGATGGAGTGATAGAGAGAGTGATAGGGAGAGAGAGATGGAGTGATAGAGAGAGAGAGTGATAGAGAGAGAGAGTAATAGAGAGAGAGTGATAGAGAGAGAAAGATGGAGTGATAGAGAGAGCGTGATAGAGAGAGTGATAGAGAGAGAGAGAGAGAGATGGAGTGATAGAGAGAGAGTGATAGAGAGAGAGTGATAGAGAGAGAGAGATGGAGTGATAGAGAGAGAGAGAGAGAGATAGAGAAAGAGAGTGATAGAGAGAGATAGGGAGTGATAGAGACAGAGTGATAGAGAGAGAGAGTGTGATAGAGAGAGTAATAAAGAGAGATAGGGAGTGATAGAGACAGTGATAGAGAGAGAGTGATAGAGAGAGAGAGAGTAATAGAGAGAGATAGGGAGTGATAGAGACAGAGTGATAGAGAGAGAGATAGAGATATAGAGTGATAGAGAGAGAGTGATAGAGAGAGAGAGATGGAGTGATAGAGAGAGAGAGAGAGAGAGATAGAGAAAGAGAGTGATAGAGAGAGATAGGGAGTGATAGAGACAGAGTGATAGAGAGAGAGAGTGTGATAGAGAGAGTAATAAAGAGAGATAGGGAGTGATAGAGACAGAGTGATAGAGAGAGAGTGATAGAGAGAGAGAGTAATAGAGAGAGATAGGGAGTGATAGAGACAGAGTGATAGAGATAGAGTGATAGAGAGAGAAAGTAATAGAGAGAGATAGAGAGTGATAGAGATAGATAGAGTGATAGAGAGAGATAAAGAGTGATAGAGAGAGATAGAGTGATAGAGAAAGTAATAGAGAGAGGTAGAGAGTGATAGAGAGAGAGTGATAGAGAGTGAAAGAGTGATAGAGATAGAGAGAGAGATAGAGATATAGAGTGATAGAAAGAGAGAGTGATAGAGAGAGTGATAGGGAAGAGAGTATGATAGGAGAGAGAGAGAAAGTGTGATAGGGGAGAGACAGGAGAGAGGGATTGACAGAGGGAGAGCATGATAGGAGAGAGTGTGATAGAGAAGAGATACAGAAGGGAGAGAAAGAGTGACAAAGGGAAGGTTTGATAGGAGAGGGAGTGACAGAGGGCCAGAGTATGATGATAATAATAATAATCCTTGCATTTGATACAGGGCCTTATCACATCTTTAAGACGTCTCAAAGAGCTTCACAGAATATACAGTAAAGCAAATTAACTGTATTTTACGGGCAGAGAGAGGTAGTGACAGGAAAGTGAGTGTGATAGGAGAGAGAGGGAATGGCAGGAGAGAGAAAGACAGGAGAGAGAAAGAGAGTGTGAGAGAGTGACAGGACAGAGTGACAGGTGAGAGAGTATGTGTTAGAGAAAGTGTGACAGGAGAGAGTGCGTGTGATAGGAGAGAGAGAGTTGCAGGAGAGACAGACAGAAGGGAGCGAGAGAATGCAATGCATGTGACAAAGAGAGAGATAGAGAGTATGTGACAGGAGAGAGAGTGGTTGGATACAGAGAGTGTTAGAATAGAGCCAATGACAGTATGTGTGGGGCAGGAGAGAGAGAAAGAATGGGACAGAAGAGAGTGACAGAGAGTGAAATAGAGAGTGACAGGAGAGAGAGAGAGAGAGAGCATGTGACACACAGCGGAATAGTTACAGGAGAGACAGCACGTTACGAGAGAAAGCATGTGTTATGAGAGAGTGAGTGAGTGACGAGAGACAGCAAAAGAGAAAGTGTATAAGAGAGAGAGTGTGACGAAAGAGAGGATGAGAGAGAGAGACAGAGTCTGTGACAAGAGATTGTGTGTGTGACGAGAGAGATGGAGAGTCTGTGTGATATGAGAGAGAGTGTATGACGAGGGAGAGAATGAATGTGTTTGTGTGAGACGAAAGAGAGAGATGTGAAGAGAGAGAGACCTTGTGACAGCCCATTTCAAGAGATAATAATCTATGCACCTGATCTGGCGCCTTTATGTCTCAAAGTGCTTCACGGGTAATTGATATCAAGTGTAGTGAGGTCCCACAATCAATGATAGATTTATCTGGTGATTTGTTGGTGAAGACCACAGAAGATAGATTCTTCTCTTCAAATGGTGCCGTGGGATCTTAAACGTCCATCTGAACAAGCAGATGAGACGTCGGTTTAACGTCTCATCTGAAGGACACACCTCCAGCAATATATATTGAAGCTTTAAATTGAAGCCTTGTTTTTTGGACAGCCGAAAGTCTGACATGTGGAAACCCATCACCATGCTTAAGAGTAGTCAAACCGGACGGAGAGTTCCACATATGTATACAACAACAACAGCAAGATTCCATTTATAGAGCGCCTTTCACGTCGGGAGGACGTCCCAAGTCGTGGGATCTTAAACCACCTCTGCATGGAATTTTCCCATTTGATTAGAATGGAATGCACATCCTAGAGGGACGCACCTTGCTTACCTAATTCCGGAAACTATTTGGCCCAGGGTGGCAGGAGCCAGACTAGATGAATCCAGAATATCTTTTGGGGTCCTGCTGGAGTTTCACCTGTTAAAAATGTGTAGCTTGCTATTGCGAACATTGTCTGATTTGATCAGAACTGTTCTCAAATTGTTCTTCCCTATTCCATGTGATTATAGGAACAATAAGGAATTGCTTTACAAACAAGCTCTGTTGATGTGACTTCAAGTCCAATAGATGAAGAGATAAAAGAATGGAAGATTCTTTATCTTGGAAGAGCAGAGATACCTAGGGATCTCATATACAAATCTTTAAAGTGGGAGGGCAAGTTAACAAAATGTACAAAAAAGCTCATGGGAGCACAGAATACAAAAGCAAGTAGGTAATGCTAAAACTGCACAAATCATTAGGCCACAGTTTGAAGTAATGTGTCTGAATTGAAGTCTTGTTTTTTGTCCGGGTATTCCAGTTTTGGATATTCCAGTTTATGAAGGATATCAAGACCAGGTAATGGCTTTTAATTGAAAAAAAATTGAAAAGGAAAAGTGAAAAGATTATGGGGAAATAACAAGGGAGTGGAATTAAATGGATAGCTCTTTCAGGGAACTGGCACAGGGAAGAACACCTGTGTTTTAAAATTCTATGATTCTATATACTATTCAGCACTTCACTAATGGACTGGTAATGTAACATAATAATTTCTATGTGATGTTATAATAGGTGTAGAGAAATTATGCAGTGAAACTAACCTGCTGTGAGTTGGACGATAAGCATAATGTATTACAGGAGAGATTATGGATCATTAAATAGAAGAACATAATTTCATATTGAGACTACACCTCAGTAATTATGTGTTGAAGCAGTATTGTGCATCACAGTGTATTTCTGCATTAGCTTGAAATCCGCCTTGACCTAAATATAATGACTTTTATGGTGATCAGCTCTCTGCTATTACAGCAATGTGCAATAGAACTTTGACAAGTTTTATATCAACATAGTTCATGTTTCTTGCAAACATAATTATTACATTAGAGCACATACTTTTGATATAGCTGTGCAAATTTTGTCAACCAATCGTTCACTTTGAGATATTTAAGTGAATTTACAGCAATTAATTCTAAGACGTTGCCTATCAAAGGTCTCTGAAGTATTGCATTTTATGAATCTTTCCTTTATAATCCGTCTACAGCATATGAAAAATGACAATGAGGTAATATCAAAACCTAAGATGAAGCTTGGTAACACATGCAAGATTTTGAAAGTTGTGACACATAAAGCTACAGTATCTTTGTTGTCTGACAGAAACTGGATTGCTCACATTTGCAAATCAAAATTTGTTTAATAACTCGTGTCACCAATAACATCTCTTCTAAATTTTAAAATAATCCAATAAAATACTGTATAGCCAAATAGATGTGTCAGCTGGAGTTGGACCCCACCTTCAGCAGATTTATGTTGAGCTGAGCTGCTTACTACGTGTCTCGCAAAACCTTCCTGGTACCCGTTATCCACCTAGTTAGGGCTCACATCTGAGCTTGTCAGATATCAAATGATCAACTGGCAACTCTACTGATGGGAGGTAAGTGGGCCTTTTTGGGGGCTGAGTTAGCTCCAGGGTGACATGCCTGGCAATATAAAATCAGAATTGAGTTGATACTCTATTCTTATTATGGGTGTCTGACACATATGGAAACCCATAACCATGCTTAAGAATATCCAAACCAAGCAGAGATGTTTTGACTTGCTTTGAGATGTTTTGATGATGTGGAAAGCGCTATATCAAATGTAAGGATTATTATTAAATTATAACTCAATCTAGGTTAGGCAAACATTCTCTGAGTGAGCTCAGAAAAGTTATATTTTGGTGCCTGAAAATGGTCCCGGCTAAGTTGAATCCAGAGATTTTTAAGGCAGCTTTGGTTGCCACAGTTATTCAGAAGTGGAAGGGAGAAGAGAAAATTTAAATACATTTTACAATATTCCTAATTTGTTTAGGAAAACAGCAATTTTGACCCAACTATTATTTAACAACATATAGGGAATACATTTTATATTACAAATACACAAATTCTCTGATATTAACATTTGGGAGGGGCAATGTTTATCAAAATGATTGGATTACTCTGAGACA